TTTCCAGAATTACAGAACCTGCGGGTAGAACTCCGAGGGCGGGGGCCGTCGTCGCCACGCTCGGCCGGCGTCTGAGAGCATGGGGGTCGCGTTGCTTTCCTGGGTCTACGACGGACCCTGGCGGGGAAGGGTGCAGGGCAGGCCTTCCTCCTTCCCTCCGGCGTGCGCAGAGAAGCCCACTCACCTGTGTGGCCTCCAGCCGCGCCCGCACCTCCTGCATCAGGAAGGGCTCTAAGCCTCGGCCCACCGTGCAGAAGAACCGGGCGACCAGCATCATGATGGTTGCCGAGATGAGTACAGATAGGCATTTCGGATAGACTAACTGCAGAGCCAAAAACCGCGGCCATCCGCGGCGCGTCCTCGCGACCTCGGAGGCGGCGCGCAGGAGTGAGAAGGCTGGGTGGAGCCAAAGGCAAGCTGAGCAGGGAGAGCCAGGAGGGTCAGGTCAGCTGGGAGTGACCCCGGTGGGTCTCCGTGGTTAACTGCTTGGAACTTCGTAGGTTAGGCATCTGGAATGATTTAGAATCACAGGTGGAAAGGATATAATGGATCATCTAATCCATCTGCCTTATTTTTCAACTTGAGGAAATTGATGCCAGAGAAGTCAAGGGACAGTGAGTCAGTGGCACAGCTGAGGCAGGAACCTAGACTTTTAATATATAGTATAATGAACCTTCTCCATTTTTCCCAACTTCCTCTTCTCTCCTTTATCCCTACACACTGCTATCCTCATAGAGGGAGCCCCGTTCTGTCTTCATCAAGGGGACATTTCAATACAATTGACCCTTGAACAACATTGGAGTTAGGAGCGCTGACGCCTGAGCAGTCGGAAATCTGTATATAACTTTCGACTCCCGCAAAACTTAACGACAGTCGGCCTTTTGTGTCCAAGAATTCAAACAGTATTTTCTATCCGAGTTTGAGAAACTGCGGTTGGGAATGCGAAAGTACTGTTTCCATCCGAAGTTAGCTGAATCCACAGATGCGAAACCAGCAGATGCAGTGGGCCGACTGCATTTATTGAAAAAAAAATTCATGTATAAGTGGGCCCGCACAGTTCAAACCACTGTTGTTCAAAGTCAACTGTACTGAGACTTTGTGAGGCCTAGTTGAGTTTCCGTTTGAGCAAGGTGACTCTTTGCTAACCTAAAAACTCTCCTGAGACCCTTGGGGCATTTTCTCTGTCTTGGTGAGGCCACCCCTCCTAGCCTGGTAACTTCAGATTCTTGGTGTGTTCGTTCTCTAGCAACGTGTCCTGGCAACAGGGGATAGCCTTTTCTGCACTGGCAGCTGGAAATCAGTTCTCGGTTGGTTGCTGTCTCTCCTGAGTGCCTCGTAATATAAAAAGGTACACCTCATATTAAATTTGAACGTTATTCCTTCATCTCAATGGTGTGATTAATTTGTCATTTGGAGTATGTTATTTCTTTATTGGCTTATTAAGAGATTGTATGCTATTGGTTTGTGAGATTATTATAATTCCCAGAATGAACCTGAGCTAAGTAAGTTGCTGGTAAAGACAGTATCAGTCTCTAGGTATAACTGCTGCCTCAAAACACACAAACAAAAAGCATTAAATTAGCTCTGTAATAATGTGAATAGATTTATAAAAACTATTAAATGTATGACTATCTCTCTGGCAAGTGCTTCCCATGTGTCTCCCCCCAATCCCCAGCTCAGGGTCAAATGAGACAGAATCATGAACATTTTTATGAGGTCATGTAACATGAACTTTTCAAAGGTTTAGTCCTCAGATTTTGTTTCTTTTCGTTTTTTTTTCCCCTCTAGACTTATTTTTCTCTTGGCAGTTGCCATAGCTCATTCCAAGTTTTTTATACGTTGGGGTTCCTGATTCTCAAGTCTGTCTGGGGAAACCCATGAAGCCTCCTTACTTGCTACATTCTGTACCCAAGATAGTAAATATCCATACGTATATGTAACGTATCTGATTTAGTTCAACAAATACTGGACACCTACTCTCTGCCAGACACCACACGAAGTCTTAAGGATACAAAGAACAGTGAGTAAGGGTCTGTACTTCAAGGGGCTTAGAGGATGGTGAGATTGATTTAGCAAGGATGTACCCAGGATGCTGTGGTGGCACAAAGAGGTGGCAGGGAGAGCTGCCTGGAGAAAATCACTCCTGTGCCAAGTATTGAAGGATGTGTAAGAGTTAAATGACTCACTGGGGTTGGGGAGTGGGCAGTATGATGGAGGGGTTATAGTAGTAGTGTAATGTTTCAGGTAGAAAGAGCGGCAGATGTTAATTGTGTGTGTGTGGGTGGGGATGCAGGACAAGAAGGCCACAACAGAAGCCAGGTGTTATTAGAGCATAAATTTTGAATTGAGAAGTAGATAGAGATAAAGGCAGAGAGGTGGGTGGTGGCCAGTTTATGGCAGTGCAGCCCAAGGCAGATGAAAAAATGACTTCTCCAGCCTAGGGCTGGCCAGCAATGTGCTCTCCTGGATATCTTTTGTCAATTTGGGGCATTCTCTGCTTTCTGAGCCCACCTCCCCAAGGTATATATATAGTTTGTAAGCACCATGGAGGTTTGATGAACTCTTGCTCACACAATCCAGCATGGTAACTTGTAAAGAGTAGGATTTAATAAATTTTTTAGAATACAGTTAAATTGTGACATAGTGGTAAAACCACAGATACAGACACAGGAGTCTTTCAAACACGTACCAAGTCAGTGCAGATTATGAAAGAACTGATGTATTTGTATAGGTGCAACTGCAAAAGCAATTTGGAAAAAAGCTATTGGTCACATACTGATTAAACCACTTGTACGCACATAGTAATCACTTGAATGGTGCTTCTTGGAACATACAATCAAAAAAGAAAATTTAGCAAAAAATTATTGCTTTGTGTATGTAAATAGTGCCTTTAAAACGTTATTTATTCATTAGTGTTTATGTCACTGTAGTTTTAATGTAGCATCAAAATTCAAAAGATGCAATCTCCATGCTTTGATTTAGAGAGACAATTCTTTTACATGTATTACTTTGCTTTAGTTATGCAGTGCATGAAATTATTATTTTGATGTACAAATAGAGTTTAGCACATCCAGTGCTTTTTTGGAAAAGTGTGCCATGTATTTAATGCATATTTTGAAACACTAGGATATTTGATGTGATTTTATTTGTTTAAATATATTTTGAGCCCATAAAACTGTCTTTATATCTGATAGACCCTTATAATGTCCCCAGTTGGAAGAGTACAGAAATTATTTCTTTGATACATTTGCTGACTGAACGAATGACTGAATCTACAATTTTCTTCAGTTTACTTGAATGAACTATATTGCCTAAATAAAATAAAGCCATTTGTCTCCTTGTAGTTGTGTTCACCTCACTCAGACTGTTGTTTTAATATTCCTTTTCTCTAGCTCCATTTTGTGCTTATATTTACTATAAATTATTTTCTTTTAGAGGCTTGCTATTACCTGTCTTTCTATTTCTTAGTCCCAAGAAAGCCCCCCAAATGTCTAAAACTAGCTAGGATACTCATATTTTGATATTTACCTGCTTCATATTTCTATAAGTCTTACTGCTTTCTAGTAAATGATTATTTATTTTGCCAGTTTTTCCGTGGTAATTGAAAAAAAAATGCCTTAAAACTCAAGCCAAGTTTTATCTGCAAATAAACAAAACCAATCAAGGGACAGACTTTATTTTCTCAGAAATAGAGATAGAGTGCTGTTTTTTTATTGTGAATGGTATTTGGCAGAATAGAATATAAAGATTTTATGAGAATGTTGTCTTAATTTAGTCAACTTTTCTCACATTGTTGGCATGAAGAGTTGAGAGTGGACTGTGGAACAGACAAATTTACTTTATTATGTATTAATCTCTCTTCTTTTTGTTGAAGGGTGATAATTCTTTGCTGCCCATGGACATTTTGTGCTGTTTTGAAAAATAGATTTGTGCTTGAAAAACTTTCTGTTGTATATACACACAATCTGGCTTGTTTTCCAACAATTTTTTTTAAAGTTTGAAATTTAATAATTAAGAATATACTGTTTACACATAATGCTATAGGTTTTTATACTGGTTTGAATTACTTCACTAAATAGAAAAACAATATAGATAGAAAATAAAAGCATGCAACCTGCAGAACCAGATTAGCCAATCATTTGATTCTTTCATAAAATACCTTCAGAATAGGACATAATGCCAGAAATTATTTGGTGCTACTTGAGCTTCTAGATCACACACAGACAGATAATATTTGTATTTTTAACCACTCTATGTTGCTTTAGTACCCTGTCACTCTGGTCAACTTAGATGACACAGATCTTCTGCCTAAGAAATGTCAAAATTGAAATGTAGCCAGGTTGCAAAAAATAATCTTAAAAGCTGGTTTCAGAATTCATCATAGGTACAAAATAGTCTTTAAGAAAATTTCTTGATGGAGTTCAGTAAGGCTTCAAGTCACCGACTAGTGAAATATAGAGATAATTAAACTGTTGTGCATAAGACATCAACAGGACGTAGGGAATATTGTGAGGGGGAAAGATCAGATAAGGAAAGGGAATGTATGGAATTGCATTGTGAGAAGCTGAGGCCATGGGGAAAAGCAACCGTTAGAGATGGCCTGTGGTATGGTAGTCGAGGACCTGAGAAGGATGTTCAAAACTCAATTTGTTTTGGTTGCTGTTATGTTAAACCTTCTCTAGTCACCCAAACTTTCGGTAAAACAAATAAACAAAGCATAGTTTTCTTGCCTCAGGTATTTTAGAATTCAAATGATCAGGGTGTTGTGATTTGGGAAAGGGGTGGTATACCCTCTAATGGACTGTGGATATCTTTGATATGAGAAAATTCAGCAGAAGCAGAAACTCAGAGCAGAGCGGGTAGGAGAAACAAGTGTGCAGGTCTGTTACCAGAGAATGTGCAGAGAGGGGTACTGGGTCATCACTGGCATGGGGTGGGGATGTAGGCCAATTTTAAATAAAAGTAGTTCAGCTGAATTCATCCCTCATCTGGGACAGTAGATTTTATGTAAACCAAGTGTCTAATATTTAAACATGTATTACTTATTGTCGACAGGTGTGGACCTTGCGATCTTGGGGCAACCTAGGGCAGGTTAACTAATGGGGATAATAATCAGATATCGGGCCCAACATTCTCAATTTTACATTTCTGGATGATCATTTTCTTCTAGTGTGTGTGTGTTTTAAACTTAATTAAAAATAGTACCAGTTTTTGTTTGTTTGTTTGTTTGTTTGTTTACTAGTAAGTGGGTTAATCACATTAATCAGAATTGCTTAAATCTGCTATCTGGACATGGTATGTAGTTTGTACTGGATATTATATTGGTTGTCTACATTGGCTGTGGATTGTAGTGTAGATTTCTCAGACTTTTTAGGCTGGGTACACACACTCTTTAAGTTGGCAGCATTCTTCTTGTGGTGGTGAACTTGATTTCTTTAAGTAATGAATTTCTAAAGTTGTGAAAGACAGTGTGTATTGGGCTGGGGAAACACTATTACAAAACTTGAGGTGCTTTGTCTGTGGGGTGAGAATAGCAATTACAGTTTTGGAGAGTTGAATTTCCTCAAATGCAACTTTGATACTGAGCATCCGGTGAAGGGAGCTGGAAAACGTAGAGTGCTATAACAGATATTGGAAACCATTGTTAGTCCAAAAAATTCCAGATAAATTTGATACCCAGATGTTTTAAATATATAGCTTAGTTTTTGTATTGGTTATTTCAGACTGGGTATACATAGAATTAAAAACATTAATATTTATTACTTCATTGAAAACTGTGTTAGGTGATAACTTGATTTGGAAATTCTTTGCTCTTCTTGAAATTATAGTTGGCTTTCTACCCAGATGCTGTCAAAACAGTATTTGAAACTTGAAAGAAATCTCAATGATAAGATAAATCTGATGGGAGCAAATGCAAGGAAAAAAATGAGAAAGACTGGCTAGGCAGAATTTTAATCCAAATTTAGTTGTTACAAGCCTAAATACTAAAAATGAACTGCAAATTGATGACAAATTATGTTTATTAACTGTTATTTAATATAGTCTTTATCTTACATTTTTTATAATAATTTCATTTTTGACATGGATATGAAAGTAGAGAAGTTCAGGGAAAAAATAAAAAAGAACTAAGGAAAAGAAATCTTTTATTAAAGGTCAAAAGGAGTTGAAATCATTTAGCTTGCTGAAATGAAGGAAGGTTAAGAAAAGCCTTATATATCTTCAAAAATGTGAAGGAGATTATTAGTGGGATACTGGCCTGTTTATAAATAGGACTGAAAATAAGGCATGGGCTCAACTCGTTAAAACCTTTGAGACTTCTAAGTCCCATGGTCTGAGGTCCTGGCCTGA